GAGAAATGTTGAAAAATGGTCAGAGCATAAATTCTGGGGTTCACATCCTGAAAAAGATCAACAGATGTAATAGAGGAAGTCTAGAATGAAAGATGAATGACACAGCAGGATGTAGAGACAATTTATTGTTCTTTACTATCTCTAATTGAAATCCATTAAAAGGTTGTCATTATAAATGCTCACTTATTACCCAGAAAATATTGTTTAACTTTTTTTTTTTTTCCTTCCTGTCAATGTGCTTCCTTCCTCCCTGTGATGCGTGTAGAGTAAAGAGGAGGTGATGGCAGTGCGACTGAGGGAAGCTGACAGTATGGCTGCGATGGCTGAACTCAGGCAGAAGATCGCTGAACTTGAGATTCAGGTGTGTGCGCTCGTGTACTTCAGTGTCTGTCTGAGTGCATCCTTGAATAAACATTTGGATCTGTGGTCTTAGCCAGTTAAGTGATCAATGTATTAATCAAAGTGAATTCAGCTTTAACCTTGTGTGTCTGAAATTTGATTTTTAGAAGGAGGAAGGGCTGATCCAGGGCCAGCTGAACCACTCTGACTCCAGACAGTACATCAACCAGCTCCGGGACCAGATTGCCGAGCTCAAGAACGAGGTGAGGCAACCTTCTCCACATAGTCACAGACGAGCAGGCGCACATATTCAAGTCAGCCACTTGTCTGAAATGCTGGGTGCAAACAAAAAAACACCCTATTCGTAGGGTTTTATACTAAAACACAGCAAACCTGTAGCTGTTAAAACTACATACCAATGCATGGAAACATGAAACAATAGAAACATTTTTCAAAGCTGCCTGATTTTTTTTTTTTTGTTGTTGTTTTTTTCCACTCCAAATGATTAATTAATTGAATATTTGTCAGAATAATGAGTAGTTTAAACCATTTCATGCTTTGCTATACTGGGAAGAAAAAAAGGAAACAAGTTACAGCAGGTAAAAACATGTAGTGATATTTTAATCCCACTGATGTAAATGTCAGTTCATGGAAGCAGATGTTGGAAGTGGTTACCTGATAAAGATCTTAGACTTAGACTTAGAGAAGCAATTGTCCCTGCCCATCAGTCTGGGGTGGGTTACATCCATTTCCAAAAAAAGCTGTCAGTCATTCTACTGTGAGAAATATTATTTACAAGTGGAAAGCATTTATGAGAGTGGCCGGTCTTTCCTGGAGTGGACATCCCAACAAATTCACTTCAAGGTCCGACCGTGCAATGTTCAGACAAATTACAAGAAACCTGAGATGCATCTCTTACTCTACAGGCCTCAGTGATCATGTTAAATGTCAACAGTCATGACAGTACAGTTAGAAAAAGACTGAACGAGTACGGCTTGTTTGGAAGGACTACCAGGAGAAACCCTCTTCTCTCTAAAAGGAGCATGCCAACATGGCTTAGGTTTAAAATGTTGCTTCAGAGCAAACAAGACTCCTGGAACAATGACATTAGGACAGTCAAGACCAAAGTGGTGGTGTTTTGTCATAATGCACAGCACCACGTTAGGTCAAAACCTAATATCAGCACATATCATATGCATATCAGCACAAACACCTCATACAGATTGTCAAACGTGATAATGGTGGAGGGGCAATTTGCGTTTGTTTTGCAGCCACAGGATGTGGGAACTTTGCAATCACTGAGTCACATGTGAACATCCCTGTATACCAAAGTATTCTAGAGTCAAATGCGAGCCCATTTGTCCATGTTTCCACTGAAGTTTCCACCCAAATCTGGTCATCCAATGGGTCGGTGATCCGAAGCACAGAACATCTAGAAAATCTACAACAAGAAGGCTGAAAAGAAAAGAATCAAAGTGTTTCAATGAGGTCAAAGTCCAGAGCTCAAGCCTTGTGAAATGTTGTGGCATGATCTTATCAGAGATGTGCATAAACAAATGCCCACACACCTCAGTGAATTAAGTAATGAGGAGTGGCCAGAATCTTCCACAAAAACAGATAGTCATACAGAAAATGATTGTTTTCTCTGATTTTTCTGATTTTTATCAGAAATATTTTTTGCTTTTTTATCATGGACAAAAACAGGACATCCAGTCCAGATAAGTTTTCAAGACACTAAAGACATTAAATAGAAAGAAGCAGAGACAGACTGGAAACCTGGCCGGTGGACTTTTTAACCATACTGAACACAATCATGGAGAGTGAGAGGATGCCTGAGGAACGGGGAGGAAGTGTACTCAAACTGGTTTTCATGCCAAGGGTGATGTGCAGAACTGTAGTAACTATGGAGATAGAGTTGAAGAGCCACACCATGAAGGTGTTGGACACAGTTGCTGAAGCTAGGTTAAGAAGAGAGGTGATCATCAGGCATCAGCAGTGTGGCTTTTGATGTGATGTTTGCTTCAAGTGTTGATGGAGTAGGTCAGAGAAGATCAGAAGGAGCTTCGCTCAGGGTCTGTGGATCTAGAGCAGGGGTGTCGAACTCTTGGTCCGTATATTGACGTGAAGAAATATCATGCAATTTGACCCTTGAAGTTACTTTTTTTGTTAGGGAGGATTTGTTTGTTATTGAGTGCGATGTTTAAAATAAGTTATTTAAAAAGCCAAAGATTATTTAACATGAAGTCAATATGAGCAGAGAGTACAAACGTGTTGAGGGATTGGCTGTGTTAGTTCAGTGTGAGAGTTTTTTGTAAAGAAAACAATTTTAACTAGCTGTCAAAAACTAATGTTTAAACTTATGTCTGCATTTTTTTTTTTTGTTAAATACGAACACAATTATAGCAGAAGTGCTGCCGCGTGTCTGACCAGAAGGAGAGTACCAATTTGTTTATTTGGTAGTTCAATGAAAGGTTGTAGTTGAGTGAGGGGGAATTTTTTATTTTTTTTATTTTTTTGTAGTTTTTCTTGTTATACAATATTTTAAATTTTAAAAAACAAAACACTATATTTTCAGAAATATTTGTGGGTGTTTGTTTGGTTTTTTTTGTACTACTTGAACACTAAAGTTCCCTCCAATGAGATGGCAGTGACAGCAGTGGCCCACAGTTCATTTAAGTTTTGAGACCCCTGATCTAGAGGAAGAATGTGGTAGAAGGCCAAAAGAGGAACTGTGACACTGCATGAGGAAGTCAAGAGTGGCAGAGAAGTAGTGAGGGTGATGAGGTGTGCAGTAAGAGAGGCAAATGGGTTTAAGGTGAGGGTGACAATAGATCATCGAGTGGCTTTGAGATTCTTGTTTTCAATGGTGATGGACAAGCTAACCAATGGGGTCAGGCAGGATTCTCTGTGGACCACGATATTATGTTGCTTGCTACGATGTTGACAAAGGAATTCCAGATACATTAGACAAAGGATGGTAGATGTGGTGTTGCTAGGCAGCAGGAAAGGCAGGCAGGAAGTCCTCAGAGGAGCTTCATGGATGTAGTTAAGGAGGACATGGCAGGCGGTTGGTGTGATGCTAGCGTGAGATGGAGGCAGATGATCCCCTGTGGGGGGCAGCTGGGGGGAAAGAAGAAGACAAAGACAGAGTATTGGCAATAATTAAAAACATTTCTAAAGGAATAATCCAAGCTGATGTCTCTTCCACATTTTAGGAACAAAGGCAGCTAAATTACAAGCACTCAGATTACTAAAATTACTTATTTATTTTTGTCAGCATGCTAAAAAATCTCTGGATATTTACCAAGAATTCATTAAATACATCCATTCATTATTTCATTAACACGTCACTTACTGTAGACTCAGTCACTTGGTCAGTTAGGTAGCTTTGAAAGGATATGACACCATCCTGGATTTCAGCTACTAAGCTGTGATTGGTCGATTATTTCTTCAACAGGAAAAAAAATTTCAGACCGGTTTGAATCTTGGCCGCGGTTCGATACTGTGTTGAAACCTGTGAAAGCATTTCTGCCCTTTTAAATGGGCCATTTAAGCCATTTTTTCATTTGCTATTGATACGTATAAATGTGTGATAATTTATTAGGGGTATAAATGAACAATTTCTTTCACTTTTACTGGCTTTTCAAAATGGCGTGTGACACACAGATGCACAGTGTGCGTGTGTGCGTGTGTGCGTGTGTGCGTGTGTGCGTGTGTGTGTGTGTATATAAGATGCTCTGCAGCTTTTGGTAACCACCACAGATGAATCTTGTCATTTATGTACAGTCTCAGAACAGATACCACTTCCACCCCGACACACGCTCAGTTGTTTCAATGTCTTTCTCGTAACAAGAGATCAATTTTCTTCTTAACAGCTGTGTTCTCATTGTTTAGTTCACACAGGACTTTAATTCTGAAAACGGGGGGTCGAAAAGAATACAGAAGCCCTGCTCAATAACTTGTTTTTGGTCTGTTATAGGCTGAGCCCACAGCTCGAGTTCTGCTGATTTTTATGATGTAATTTGACAACATTTAGTGTTATCTTGGGTTCATGAGGATAATCTCCAGCCCTGATTGGAGACAGAAAGTTATCAGTCAGCATACACTTGGGTTTGTTCATTCAGAGAGTGTCTGTGCGTGACTAGGAGGAGGGAGTATGTTTAAACTTCAGAGTGAGGGGGCGTGATGAGACGGCCCTGCCCTTTAGCGCTCCTCTCCTCTTTTCTTCTTGTCACCCCACCACTTTTGATCAAAGCCGTGGTTTTCATAAATGAGACCGAAACTTGCGTGAGTACAGATGAGGAAGCAATGAACCATTTAGAAAAATCTCAGTATAGAGCTGAAAGCGATCATCGTACGATTGAGTCATATTGGCGTTGCTGACACATAATGAGCCATTTTATAGAATGCAGCTGAATTAATTTTACATTTTTACTCGCGCACATTTATTTTGATTCAGGTGGACATTGATTTTTTTTGTGAAAGCAAATACTTTTCCATAGCATTTGGAGACTTAATTATCTGCCAATTTTGATGTTCCTGTTCATATTGAGAGAGACTGGAGAGAATATAACCTACGAAGCCCGGTACCTTCTTATGTTTCTCTGCTGTAGCGTGAAGAGCTCAGACACAGTCAAAATATTTCCACTGGTTAACCACCGGTTTCCCCCTCCCCCCCCCACCTGCCCGCCCTGCAGCTAGCTTGAGTTTATGATTGGGGGAAAACAAAAACCTCTGAGATTTGTCATGAGTCACTGTGGTACATACAAGGCTAACATGCAAAAGGCATGCATGTGAAAAGTGGTGGCATCGCTGCTGCTCACAAGAAGAACTCTGCACTCTGCTAGTTGGACATCAGCCGCGGAGTAGAAACATGCAAACGCGTCCTTTTATGCTTGTACGTTTCCACAAAGCTACTTTTCTTGTCAACTTGAATAAAATTCAAATCGTACCACCACCTTCACCCTAATGACAGGTGCACGCTCAGATTTAGCTGTAAAGATCCCACAGTCCTATTTGCACATCTTTTAATGGTAAGAAAAAAATGCATCAGTGGGTTTCACAGGGTTTAGGGTTTTTTTTGTTTTTGTTTTTTTTTTTAACACCCAACAACCTGTTTAAAAAAATTCCAATCACCTGACATTTAGTGGCTTTGCAAAGACGTGTCAAACGTATTTAAAAGCATTAAAAACCACTAGGCCTCATGCTACAGTAGTGTTCAGTAACATACACTCATTTGTCCTGTTACTTGCAAAATTCTTAACCTTTGTCAACAGGTATTTAGGAGGAGAACGTTTAAGATAATACTGTTTATTGCACGGACGTACTGATGAAATTTCTATAAAAAGAAGTTTGCAGGCAGATGGGAGAGAGGTTGTTTTTTTTTTTTCCCTCTGAAATGTAAATACTGTAAATTATATCACTTCAGGGAATTATCTGGGAAGGGATCGGCTTTTGGGAGATGGACTTTGCACATAAACCTTATTGTTTCATCCAAACTGAAGGCATTTTGCTTTTTTTCTGGCTATCGAGTAAGCAAAAAGTCTTTTATGCTGGAGTAAATGAAAATTGCCACCATAATTAATAAATGGTGCTAATTTTTCCCTGGCTCTGCTTAAAACGTTTTTCTGGGGTATTGAGAAAAAATTTCCTTTTTTAGATTTTCCTTCCTCAAAAACATTTTGACCCTTCTTGTTGACGTAATAAAGTATGAAGGACCCAATTCAAGTAATCAGGTTTTAAGAAACAGCTGTGAGTTTGTTAACCCGGCGCTTAAGGAAACTGAGATAACCGAGTTCTCAGAATTAACTAATGGTAACACACTCTGTTTCTAGGTCAGAAAATCCCAGAACGTTGATTAAATTTGAAGTTAAAGTTTGTTAAATGCGCTTCCTGGAATAAAACCCAGAGGTGCTATAGTTAATGTGCCGTGCCGCTGCCACTAAATGTGTCACGTCTAACCCCAAAAAGAAAACGTGTAAACTAACGGAAGGAAGCTTGAATTCAGGAACTAAAAACAATCTGGATCAGTAATCAGGGTCCACCAAACTGGTCATAAACGTGTTTTTCTACTGTTAAAAATAATCAGCACCAAATACAAATGCTTTTTCCTGTTTTAATAATGCTGCTCTATATACATCTATGTGAGCCAGTTCAGCATGAACATACGGTCTATATTTCAGTGCAATCAGCGTTTTCACAAGATGTTCTAACAACCTGTACTGGCTGGTGATTTTATCCAGATTAGCTGAGGGTGGGGGGGAAATACATCTGAACCACAGCCAGCCTACCTTTGACTAAAAACCTCCTTCTTTGTTCTCAGATCAGGCAGCTGCGAGGACAGAAGGTGACCCCCAGCTCCAGGGTCACCAGTGGAGGGGGAAGTACCAACTACCAGGATCTCTGCCTGGCCAGCCCCGCCTCCGCTGAGGGGGACTTCCTCAGCTCAGATGAGGACCTCCTTCCCAGCCCACTGCCGGCCACCGCCCTTTACCCCAGTCTTTCTGGCCAATGTCACCCGTCTCCACGCCTCGACAGCGAGGGCAGCACGGACAGCGAGGCAGAAGAGCGGGTGCAGACGCATCCGGACCCACAGCAGCTTTATGGCAGCATTGTGTGCGCCGAGGCACTGGATAACTGAGACCTCGGGAGGGTGCTGAGATCCCCTATGATCTGAAGAGACGCTGGAACTGGGATTGTAGTATCCAGTCAAGTCCTCCTCCTCGGCCTCTCCAGTCTTTATCTTTTACTTGATGCAGACATAGTGGCATTGATTGGACCTGTGCTGATCATCACTACCTGTTGTCTCTGCTCCTCGTTACTGTCTCCAACACCTGTTTCCCACACTGTCGCTCCCTGGCAAAGAGCTTACGTACAGCCTCCCTCCTCATCCCCACTTGTAACTGTGCCACAGACTGTCAAAATACACATCTATCAAAAACATGAACAAATCACATACGAACAAAATGTACCGCTCGCTGCTCAAAATCTACCACTGGACCTGAATCTGTGACTGTGGCCACGAGTGAAAGACGAGTACACACAGAAGGAAAATCCTTCCTCCCTCTAAGCTGAGTAAGACATATGACGCACTGTATACTCTGGCCACCCCTATACGACTCTTCTCCCTGATTAGTTCAGAGTTAAATACATCCTTATCCTCCCCTTTCGCCCTCATCCATCTTCACTGCCTTTAAAAGAAACTTCTAGCCGCCACCTGTTCATCTCTGTGTTTTAAAAAGAAAAAAAAAAGGAAAAAGAAATTTAAGTGGTGATGATTATACGAAGAAGTGGTCCGGAGCAGGAATACGCACACATCTGTATCAAACTCTACAGGCATATCACGTAAAGGCATTCCTAAATGAACCCTTAGCATACTGAGTACTTGTGCTGCCTGTGTGTGGCCTGCAGAAGGCAAGTGAGTTACACGCACAACCGTTCACAGCAACCCACAAAAAGGCAGAAACTCAGTGTTGCCAAATCTTTTTGTTTGGTTTTTTTATGTGTTGTAATTTATTTTGATATTGTTTTTTTTTATATATCTATATGAAACTTGTAGGAGTGTAGACATACTGAAAGAGGCCAAACTTTCTACAACGTCCTTTGTGCCAACTAGAGTCATCTGTCACGGGCTCACTGTGACACACGCCGAGTGCTTCAGAGACAGAAAATGTGCTGCTATGATTTGACTTATTTCCTCCATTATTGTATTTTTTTGTTCTGTTATTTTATTTTATTTTTGTCAGTCTTGTGAGGCTACCATCCAACCTCAAGATTAACTCTATATCGATGTAGATTACTACTTGGAGTAATGTCTAAAAAACTGAATGGTTTAACTTTCTCCCAGAAGCTTTTCAGCTTTTAGCACCAGACTCTGTTGGGAGTACTTCAACATATTGGCAAATGCCTTTATTCCCTGTCAGACTGAGACCGAGATGAGACCACTCTGATATCTGTGTAAAGCTACAACTTGGATGGAGTTGGCTGATTTCATGCACAGCTTTGTTTTTACACTTTTTTTGTATGGATTCAAGTAAGACTGCGTAGAGTTTGACGGACACGTTATATTTGCTATTATGGACTAGTTATCAGCAACTCGGCATACTAAACCAAGTAGCTAAGGCTGTAGCTGCTAATAAACTTTTGAGAGTGCTGAAAGTCAGACTTCTTTATATTTGGACAGCCCTGAGCTTATGCTGTGCTAACCAGTTTCCATTACTTAGCCTTCATATTCAAGACAGAAATGAGAGTGATCAAATGATTCCAGGAAACAAAGTAGATAAACCCAAGTAATCTGGCTCTTATCGCTTTCTGACAGCTAAAAGTGTGGGCCAATGACTGCAGAGGGTTGTTTCCTCGGCAAAGGTCAGTGTCTTCACGACAGGAGAGAGCATGGGTAGAAAAACGTTTAACATATCAAACAATATATTCTATTTAAAAAAAAAAAAGGCTGTAAAATGAATGGAAACATATGAAATATACTGTGTGACAGGAACATATAGATGATATTTAAAGCTGTACTGGAGTGTGTATAGTTTATCAAACAGGGTGTTATATCTACAGAGCAGTGATCTTTGCTTTTTGCACTACAGAGAAAGACACGCCCAGCTTTGTGGTGCTGAGCCGTGAGAGCTGGTGTGGATTCGTGGAGTCGTGGTGGGATCATTTTTCAACATGTGCATTTCTTCAGAGGGACCTTAAAGATAGTCTTTGTCTCTAAATCCTTTAGAGGCTTTCTGCTTCATAACAAAGCATATTTTATGTAATGCAAATCTAAAAAGAGCAGAGCGTTATTGCCATCCTCTCAGAAATTATGTAATTGGATCTTCCAGTAATGGCCTTCAAAGAACTAAAGAGGATGTCAGTTTGCCCACCATACTGTTGCAAGTAACAGCTTTTTAGTGGTCACTGATGGTTGTGGCAACTGAAATCTCTACCCTGGAATCACTGCAAAGATATTGTCAAACCAAAATGACCGTTGTACAAGCGTTTCAGTTTTACAAATTTGCATCTGCTCTGTTTAGTATGAGAGTTGGACCCTTGTGTGTGGCCTGCAGAAGGCAAGTGAGTTACATGACATGATATTTTGCATCATGTCAGACTAAATTTCATGCAGAAGGTCATAATCATCACGATTTCTGGATATATCGGGCCCCCTCTATAGGGATGCTTTGATTTCAGTGCATTTATGTAATGCAATTAGCCCTTTTTTCATTATGGAAGACATAAAAGGCCGTGCTGTAAATGGGAAAAGAAACTCGATCTATTAGAGGCTTAAAATGCGAGCAACCATGAATAATTAGATTTATCAAGAATCACACAGAGGCTATAATTTTCTCAAATAAATGCACAGAATACCCTCATTTTTATGACTGCTTTTCATAGTTTGAGGTTTAAACTGCACTCTTTTAATACATTATCTTACTGCACATTCAGGAGCAGTGTAATAATATAATTAGCTCCTAAAAATATTGGCTGAAAATTATCATCAATTTCCCTTTTTATTGACGATTTTCTGGACATTTTGTGTCAAGTTTGCACCATATTTTGAGGAAAATCTGTCTATTTACTTTCTTCTTCATTAATGCATTAAACATACTTCAAACTAAACTTAAACCTAACCTACCACTATTAAAACCTTTACAGTTTGTATTCCAGTCCAAAAGAACCCCAAGAAGAAAACACATCAACTAATTGAAGAAAGCTTGAATTCAGGAACTTTCCATAATTAACCAAAAATATGGATCAGTAAATTAGGGTCCCTCAACACATCTGTAAACAGCTGTTCAGTAACGGTGCTTCTGTTCTCACTTCTGTCTGAATTCAGCTCTTACCTACTGTGATGAAGCATTTTGATATGTTTGTAAATCAGTTTTGAATACGGTACTAGCCTTCATCCTTCATGTTGGTTTTTTAGAATTCCCATCCGTACTTTGGCTCGTCCCGCTAACAGCGATACACATGATGATGGCGATTAAATGTCACGATGTGCCATAAAACTAGAGAGATTTACACACTTTGTTGCTTTACGTCATACTGTGTTACTCCAGATTCATCATCTTAAAACTGGAACATCCGCCACATGTTTTCCCTGATTTGAAGCAGAAAAAGAAATAAGAGGAGAAGATTTTTCTCTTGTCAGATGGTGTCAGTCTGGCCTAGAGTTTCTCTGATTTATGTACTGTATGTGGCGACTGTTTTGAGATCCACAGCCGCATCATTCATCATCCATCCTCTCTTTCTCTCTCTCTCTTGCAGTTCAGCTGATGTTGTCAAATATATTAAATGACAGTAAAAATTATAAAAAATTCCAGTATGATGGGGAAAAATACATTTCAGTGTTCTGTATCCTACAAATGATACAAAATAAACTTTGACATTGCACCTTTGCAACCGCCTGATTTCTCTTTTAAACTTGTCTTAGTCGCTAACGAGAGATGCATTGTCACCGCGCTGCATAGTGTTGCATAACAAATTGATTGTTGCGTGAGGTTAAAACACGTACACGTACTCTCTTTTCTACTAAAGACATGTTTAGTTTAAAGACTAAAAACATGGCAGACTGAGTGAGAGGGAGGCAGGTGGAAAGGTGAACATGCAGAGCAGGACGAGTTTAAATACCTTGTGAAAGTCATACTATGGAAAATAAACAGGAAATGATAATATGATAAAATCACACTCTGTAACAGTCTTCACTGGTCAAATTAGCATAACAGAATAGTTTTGACTCATTCTGGCCTACATCAGTATTACTAAGTCTGAAACTTCTCGATCTGTTTGTGCAAAAATCGAGTGAAATCTTTATTTATAATAACAAGACTGTAAACACAGATGAGCTTTTACATATGGATTAAAATTCAGGGTTGCACGCTGACGTATGAGTTTAACAGCCTACTCAGTAGCTATGAACTATGAATCACCAGGTTGTTGTTAGTAAGACTTGAGAAAGGATTTCACACGCAAACGTAGTAAGATTATTACAAAAGGGTGATGCAGCCCAGTTCAGGGGAGCATGGTTTGGTCATAAACTGAGCATTTATGAGTAATGTGTGGTATGAGGTTTTGAGATAATGTAGAACAACATGTCAAATTTTGCCAAAGTATTTACAGGGATTAATGTGTGTCTGATTTGCCTTTTTTCCATCCTGCCTCAGAGGGATGCTGAAAACTAGGTAATTCATTTATTATTTATAGGCTGGACTACCCACATAGCAAAATGTGTATGGCCTGAATGTGGCCCACACAATGTGCTTACACATGGCCCACATACCGCAAAGAATGACGGCCCTTTGGTGGCCCAGATCTGGTTTGCCAGAGGTGGCCCACACATGGGCCAGCACAAGGCCAGTTGCAGACACACTGGTGGTCCTGTGCTGGCCCATATGTGGATCACCTCTGGCAAACCTGATCTGGGCCACCAAAGGGCCGTCATTCTTTGCCGGTGGGCCATGGGTAAGTTGTGTGCATCCGTGGGCCGGTTGCAGACACACTGCTGGCCCAGAACAGTTTCAGCTCTGGCCCCAGATGTCAGCCTAATGAGTACCTTAATTAAGCCATGTAAAAACAACAAGTGCATAACAGTGCAAAAGTAACATGACGAAACTCTGTTCAGACAGTGAATGGACTGATTCTTATATAACATTTTTCAACTCTCCCAGATTACTCAAAGTGCTCTATACAACATGCCACATTCACCCAACCACACACTTAACCGAGTGCTTCCTAACTAAATTCATACACATTCACACTCACAACATGCAGACTGGAGGAACCAGGGATCGAACCACTAACCTTCAGATCAATACCTGCTCTACCAATGTGGGGAAAAAAACTTGCAGCAAAGATGAGCCATTAGTTATTATAAATCTCTGCCTCTCTTCAACAGCGTGCCTTTTGTCCTGTCTCCCTCCCATCACCCCCACGGTCGCAGCAGATGACCGCCCCCTCTCTTTATATTGGAGGTTACTTCCAGTATAAAAGGAGTTTGTCCTTCTCACTGTTGCCAAGTGCTTGTGTTTCTCTGTATTATTGCAGGGTCTTAAAATATTAAGCGCACTGAGGAAACTGTTATTGTGATTTTGTGCTAATTAAATAAAATAGACTTAGTATCCAAAGGAAATGCGCCAACTGTGTTAAAAAATATTTGGTCAAAACTGCTTCCTGTTATACGACATGGAAACAGTTAAATATGTAGAGCATGCATCCATTTATCCAGGTCACAGGGGCACAGCGGCCTGTTCCAGCTGTGATGGGCCGAGAGGTGGGGTGCACCCTGGATATTCACACCTGCGGCCACTGTCAAAGGAAACCAGAGTACCCACACAGGCACAAGGAGAACATGCTGGTTTCACACGTTAAAGCCTCGGTCACTAATTTCAAATCCAGGTCCTCCGTGCTGTGAGGCGACAGTTCTAACCAGGAGAGTCGCTCCGAGGTCTGCTTTAGTGAAACGTAGGCGGTAATATTTCATTTGTTTATGAAAGTATTTCTCAAAACCTTCCACAGAAATGTATTCACACTTGTCCCTCTTGTGTTTATTTGTCACTGATGTTTTAGCTTAATGATTTCATTAAATTCTATGGAAAGGAATCTGCCGTTGCATCAGCCGAGCTTCTTTATAAGTTTCACCTCACTGGTGTGTTTGGTAACAACACTGTGTCAACACAAGAGTGTCAAAACTTTCCTAAGAACTTTCAACACAGTCCATCCACTTCCTCTCTGATTTATGCCGGTGTGTTTTTGTGCGACGTGTCATGTATCTGCACATTTTTTTTAAAGTAAAACTGGACTGATTTTGCGCTGCTGCTGCTGCTGCTGCTGCTGCTGCGAGTGTTTGTGTGTGTTTTGTCTGAGGAAGCTGTGTGGTTGGAGTGTCAAATCTAAAATACTTCCTCATCCTCTTGTGCTCGCATTAGAGCGACCTTCAGATGTCAGCAGCGTCTCACAGTCCACCTCGGCGGCAGACTGATCGCACATGTGACCGTTTTAACTCCATTTCAGGGGTTCCCGTATTATTTTATGCAAAGTGCGTATGAAGCTCAGAAGTGCTGGGAGGAGAACTTTGGTGAGTATTTACACTTTTATTTCTTTTCTCTTTTTTTGTAGATTTTTTTTTCTCATTCCAACTCAGGTTAAGTTAGATTTTAAAATAATATATAGAAAAGAAATGAGGTGGATTACTGCAAGCGTTACCTGACTGATTCAGATTATGACTTACTTTAAGAGGCCATGTTTTGTTTTATGCAGCAGACTCAAAAAATGTGGAAAAGTTTCATCTAGAAGTACCTTCTTGTCATTTTATCATCCTTAAAAGAAAGGATCTTAGTCAGGGCAGAGTTAAGCTGGTGGCATGCAAAGCTTTTTGTATGTCAGGCCAGATTTTCTGGTGCAAAGATGTAGAAATAAACCGCTTTCTTCCTTCATCTAGCTGCCCATTCATACCGAAAGTGGCTGCAGCATGTCGACATGTATGTCAGATCTAAATTTTGTCAGACACTTCACAAAACACATTAACATGGGCAGCGGTCCACACCTGTCTGAACACGTCATTTCTTTGTCTAAAAATGCACTGCAGCAGTTGTTTTACTGCAATATGTAGCGGTGTTTTTGTTAATCTCTCATCTAATAAAGAAAATTTGAGGTGAATGACTAAACTTTTAAGTCAGTGCACATATATGTCAACATCAGGCCTCCTCTGAAAGCTCTGTAAGCTCACTCGATGTTAAATCAAAGGCAAAGAGTTAGTTCTCCTTCATCCATAAATCTACACTGAGCGAAACAAATCATCAGCAAGTCAGCAGCGCAGACCTGATCTTATCTGATTTCCAGAAATTTAAATCAGTTTACTTTGTCTGTAATAACTACATAAGGAAATAACTTTCAGTAGCTAAATATCAATAAAGCGGTGAAATTACATTTACTAAACAGATTTCTGTTACCTGTACTTGAGGATTTGCACCTAGTTTATTTCTATGCATTACTAAAGTTCAGACTGAAATAATTTACTACCCCATTGTTTTTGTCTGATGCTGTTTTTTTAAAGAGTAAGATTGTATATATGAAAAAAACATGAAAAACACCAAAGCGCTGCAGACGTTTTCACACACATTTCTCTATTCGAGGCGCAAACACATTAAATTCATTCCATATTTTGCACAGAAAACATAATTGAAGGCTCAAAATTTATTGCAAACTTGTGTGCCAGAAGTTTATTTTTGTTTTTTCCTGTATAATGATCTACACATATTTATCATGCAAGATTTAGGAGGGGCCCTCCTGCCCCAGATTGGAAACCCAGTTAGGAAACTACCTAAATGCAGAATATGCTGTTAAAATAAAAATAGCCTTACTTCGGTTGCAATAAAATGACATTTATGAAGCTCAGCAGCACTTTTATTTAAAATAAGTCAGGACATGGGGCCGTTTTTCTATAGAACAAGTTATTTTTAAGTACGTTTTTGCATTTTACTACTTTTAATACAGGATATTTACTTTTTTTTTTTATTGTTCTTCTTATTGCTACCTTTACCCAAGTAAGAGATCTGAGTGCTTCTTTCATCACTGTAAACAAGCTTACAAACTTGGGCTTGAGTATCTGGGAAGCTTCTTTCATTTTAAGAATTCACCTACAGCTCCTGGTACTACAGACAGGTGACAGGTTCGAAGAAAAACCAGAACAAAGACTCTCAGTGAGGTGTTTGGCCTGTGCCTCCTGGTATTTGTTCTGTAAATCACTTGTACTCTTCTGGAGATATTTATCATCCATCCTTTTACTCATTTACCCATTATATAATAGATATTTGGTATTCTTCATATGTTGATGGTGGTGGTGCTGTCTCAGATGTCGATCCAAGCTCTGCAAGGGTTCTTCAGCTGCTTTGAGATCCAGTGAGCACATAGCGTGTGACATTTTTATGCTCATCATGCTTTGAATCAGCGGCGTCTCTCTGGATGGAGGGTTCGTCGTACTAGAACAGACCACATTAGGATAAAGACGATCGCTCCAAATGCTTTGCATTGATTTGCACCTTGAACAGAGCCTTCAGCCGTCCGCTCACTGCTACTTTATTTAACTTGTCACCCATGTGCAAGTCCTATCAGTTAAACCATATTTTTGCTTCATTTGAAAAAAACGATTTTAAAGCTGCAGCGTTTTTTGTTTGTTTGTTTTTTATTCGTGGTGTGATACCTCAGTTTCTGCACAGCACGCACATTTGTGCACTGAGTCATGATTTGTGGTGCTGTTAAGTGACATTTTCACAGCTCCGATATGACTCCGAATGTCTGAAACCACATTTGGAGAAAAGATGATGATGTCAATAAAAAATAATACAATTTCTAGCCTTCAGTGTTAACTAATGAAACAAAACAAAAGGTGTGAGGAGTTTAACTTGTTTTTCTTCAGGAAGCAGAGATCCTCGCTGTCATCTGTGATGGAAAAACTTTGTCCTGTGTGCACAAGAGTAAACCTTAAACAAGCTGGCAAAACTAAGAAATTCAATAGAGTAGTTAAATAAATTAAAGGGCACCAAAGGTTGCCATTCTAAATGAAGTTGGAGACAAATTAAAGTTAAAAGTTTAGGCACACTTGATAATAGTGGAAGTTTTGTGTTTTGTTTTGGGGGTTTTTAGCATTTTATAGCAAAATAATCACAGCAACAAAACAATATCAGCTGAGTTTTTCAGTGGCTGACAGCGAGCTGAGCTTTCTTCGCTAAACTGAAGGAGGAAATTGTGTTTCTCCCAGACGTGTGCACTCTGGTCCTGGCTCACGTTTCTGCTAAATAACAGTTTCAGATAAATCGTCAGCAACCCAGTGAGAAGAAAGCTAAACCACAGATGCACCCTTATAGGCACACAGAGTGCAACTCAAGATTCCAGATTGGTATTTACAGATAAACACAGGCTAAAAATCAGGATGACTTCACTTTAAAATGTCTCACTTCCAAACATCACCAATGAGCTCACAGGAATTGTATTTGTTCTGATGAAATTTTAAGAAATATGAATTTGTAAAGAACTCGCTGCCCGCTGGCTTCATGCTCAGTCTGTGTTAGTTTCATTCTGCTGAACAGTCTAACTCTGTATATGTATTTGACTTTCAAGCAGGAAACTATATAGAAAGTACAGTTCTACTGCCCTCTTTTGGGTATTATAGACACAATGTGTAACCTGTTGGTCATTCACCTTGTTTTATGTCTTTAGTGTAAAATTTTACTGTGTGCATAAAAAACATATTTGAGTTGCTTTATTTCTTACATCTTTTACAACAGGCTGTTTACATATATTGCATTTGAAGTAACTTTATTTTCATTTTCTAGGTACCTTAAAAACAGGATTACAGCAGGAGCAATAGACCCCGGAGCAATGCCTCGTTCTTTCCTGGTGAAGCGTGGTGGGCTGCACCACCTTCGTCACGTGGCAAGAAGCCCCAGCCCTGGAGCCACTGCAGTAATGTTCAGTGAACTGGAAAAAAGGGCGGGAGCCTGGGACGCATCCCTGGAGTACACCAAACCGAAGACAAACGGTGATAATGCAATCGCCGCTGTGTTATTACAGCAGGACTTAAAGTTCTGTAATGAAAATGGGAGCCGTCACCCATTCAGTCCTCAATCATACGGTGGGTGACAACATCTTTTGTTTGTTTTAGCTCTCCTAAGACTAAACTTTACACTTTTAAATGTGATCAGCAGCAGCTCTGTTTGGTCCGATAAAAGAACAAGGACCCAACTTTTTTTTCCGTGTTAATTAAAGAAAAAAAAACATATTTTTCATATTTTTCAAAAACTGTCTGTCTGCTTTTCTTTTCAGACCACAGTTCTGCTGAGGCCTGCAGTCCTATCAACGCAAATATTTTTAGCCAAGTGGAGAAAGTTGTTTCTCAGCCTCCCAAACCAGAAGTATTGTCGAGTCTTCAGGTGAGGTCTGGATATCCAGACAAACTGTCCGAACTGAGAGAGTTGGAGCACCATCAGATCCTGAGAGAGACCAGGAGCAGCAGCTGCTCTAAGATCAGCGCTCTGAGGCAGGAGTGCCTACTCTGTGGAAAGGTTACAACAATTTTTTTATGAAGTTCCTGTTTTTATTTCATTTTGACTTTTTATTTTTAGATTTATTTTCTATGATTTTTACAGAAGTACTATTTCTTTGGATTTTATTGCATTTTAGTTTTTTATTATGTACTGGGTATTAGTATATTATTATTATTATTATTGCTGTTGTTGTTATATTATTATGTTTTTTTATTATTATTGTGTAATAATAATATTATTATATATCTATAAAGACATCTTTACTTAAGACAGATTAACAAACATCCACCAGAAGACAAAGACTAAAAAGACATATATCATCAATCAATCAGCATCAGCATAGGGCCGCAAGACATATATCGTAGATTGTGTTTATTGGAGTCATTTTTACAACAAATAAAATATTAAAATGCACAATACAGTTATTTATTTATTACGTTTCATTTTAGAAATGCCTTTTTTCAGTTATTCTGAAGGTGATGCAATTTTTTTGATGGGTAACCTTCCATATATTCATAAAAATCCTCCGAATGTCCTCCAAGAGACCCATGAACCATGAACTAGGCTCAACAATTTCAGTCATGTAAAAGTTTATAGACTGAAGAAACACAATATTAACTAATGAATACATCAGTGCTCCTTAGCTTCCTTTGATTGTTTGAAAAGTCGAACCTCTAATGAGCCATAACTTAAAAATTCCTCATTGATATGTTAAATTGTTGCAACTTGTCTTTGCAGATATTTTCATGTCTGTCAAGTCTGAAAACTCACATATGTAAGAGTCACAGAGGCAGAGCCCGTATGTCAGTGGCACACATCAAGTCCGACAGGGCTGGTAATGAGCAGGCACCTTGCAGGGGGAAGGTCAGCATCACTTTGCCTTTAAATGCATTATTCTGTTACATCTTTGGATGTAAAATCAACCATTTATTGGGATAGAGCTTTGTCAGATCCATGACTGTCTGCTGTTTTCAGGAGCGGACATTCAGCTGTACGGTGTGTGCAAAAGTGTTCAAGCGCTCCTCCACCCTCTCCACTCACCTGCTCATTCATTCAGACACCCGGCCCTATCCCTGCCAGTACTGCGGCAAACGCTTCCACCAGAAGTCTGACATGAAGAAACACACCTTCATCCACACCGGTGAGTTGGTGCACTCCTGCTCTCAGTAAAACAGTCTGGTGTTTTCTGCTAAAATGAGCACTACTAACATACGTGTGTATATTAGTATCCTTTAAGTTAGTCAGTTTGCCTAATATGAAATCTGGCTCATTAAAATTGCCATAAAAGTCAGACTGTAAAAAGGCTCAGACAACTTCCTGATGATGTTTCCAGCACACGTAAAAGTACAACGTTTTACGTTATTAATGACCTTCAGATCCACTACACAGAGTTAGTACATATGTAATTCCTTTATATGTCTTTTTATTCTCAGGCTCTACTAGAGTAGCATTGACTTTTTTTAATAATAAAGCTTATATTACATATATATATTCCTGGACTTTGTTGCCACCCTTTCGTTTATCCACTGTCTGAAACAAGCAGTTTTAGCACCATTTTAGCCAGCTTTCTTGTGATTGGCTGCCCCTCAGATGGTGGGTGGGGCTTTCTGTGTTCAAAAGTGTTCATCTTAGATGACGATATCCTTTCTGTTTGATGTCATACACATCGAAGACCAAAAAAAATCTGAGCTCTTTGCCCACAGGGATTATTATAGAGCACACTAAGCTCATTATTATCCACCTTTGTAAAAGCAACAAATATGAAAGAAAGGAAAACATAACAGTTCCCTTTGATAAATCTTTTAACCTTAGATTCTAAACCTGATTGGTTAGTTTTTGTGTCATATCTGGATTCTGAAAGCAAACAATAACAGCGTTCAATTCTCTCTGTTTGTCTGCCAGGGGAGAAGCCCCACGTGTGTCAGATATGTGGCAAAGCATTCAGCCAGAGCTCCAACCTCATCACCCACAGCCGAAAGCACAGGGATGACAGGCCCTACCGCTGCCCACAATGCCTTTACAGCTTCCAGCATAAAGTGGACCTGCGGCAGCACCAGGAGCAACACTGCGCCTACCGCTGATTCTGCCCCACTCGAGACTTTAACCTTCTCAACGAAGAGGAACAGGAACTGGGATCTAAATCTTTGACTGTGTTGCTCCCAAGACAGCGTTTAATATTTCATGCAAAGCTGTGTACAGTGTTGGAGGTGTATTATATACCACAGGCATTGTGGTAGGGTGTGTTGAGTCTCAGCAGTGTAGTGAAATGACTTTATTTATGTGAAGGAAAGTACAAAAAACGGTACTGGTTACAACAATACTTTAATAATTTAAATTGTAAATGCAAAATACATCCTCAGTCAGTGCATTTGATTTAACTGATGCTTATTTTTCAGGTGTACTTAGTGATATCGAGCTATTTGTTTTTTGTTTTGTTTCTTTCCACATACTGAGGAATATAGTTGTACAGGAAAAATCACAGCACTGTTAATGCTTCCATCCATCTTCTTTATAGCTTATCCAAAGTCAGAGTCACTATTGTTATATTAGTGATCATTATTATTATTTCAGTTAAGCTGTGTTCAGACTTTAATTCTTGTGGACATGTGGTGTGTTTTCTAGTGTTTTTGTATTAACGGGACACCAAGTATGAGACTCCCACTGATGAATTATTCCTGGTTAGAGTTGATATTCAGAGTTATTGTTCAAATATTAATAAAAGCAGTGCTGTGTGCAACAAAAGCTGAGCTCTTAATATAGTATAATGTTGTGTATATGTACTCTTAACTTTGTAATAATTAAAAAAAAATTGAAGAAGAAAGAAATATTGATAGGGGATTCTTTTGAGTTTATTCGTTTTAACATTTGCTAAAGTAAGGTGTATCGTCCAAAGACAGGGTCTGATAAACACCTCCTCCTATCTAAATTAAGGCTTTTAAAGTGCACTTAACTTAGAGGTGAGTAGTAGAGCAACAGTTGTAATTTTCTTTGTTGTACTTGATCAAGGTTTTAACAGTTAACTAAAACCAAACTAAAACTAGATGTGCAAAAAAAACATTTCGATTAACTTAAAAATAAAAACTAGGCTTTACTTCAATACCTTTGGAAACTTATAATTAAATACAACTAAAATAAATAAATAAAAAACATAGAGAGGAAATATCCTTAGTTGTAATATTTGTTAGTTTGGTATAATTTTATTAAAACTTGTGTGTCTATTGAGACTGTGGAGACTAACACTGAGCTAATAAAAACTAAAGATAAACACATTGAAACAATAAAAACTAAACTGAAACCAGAAAAACCCGACCAGGAAACGAACTGAAACGAAACTGAACCAAAAGCAAAAAAATTCTAAATGAACTGAAGATAAAAACCTAAAAGATACAAAACTATGATAACTCTGCACTGGATTCAGGGTAACATGACTTATCCACCTTAAACATGGCACACTCAATATACAAAGGTCAGCAGTGCTTCCCCCTCTCCTATGTGGCATTGCATAACTGCAAAGGTTACACATTTGTTTTAACTGAAGCTAAGTTATCAAGTTTTTCCTCTTGTACAATTGATCCCACATGAGTCAGAGTGAATCAACATTTCAGCCTGTTTGGGGAAGTAAACTCTGGCATCTGTTCAAATGGTAAAATAATTCATTTAATTTGATTTTACTCAATTGTGTTCAGAAGATTTCTTCACACCACACATACCCGACTGTTGTGGTAATTTTGTTTTTATTGAAACCGAAAACAAAAAATACAGACAACTTTGTCTAAAGTCATGAATCATCATTTTTGTTCAACTCTTTGAATCAACGCTGACAGCCTGCACTTCAGTCACATACTAATCTGAATTTCATTGGGGTTGTATACAGAGGCAAAACCACAAAATCTGTTTTTGTCCAGCAAATTATGGACCGAACTGTTTAAAGTAAGTACTTAAAATTAACAGGATGTTGTTCATACTTAAGAAGAGATCTTTACCATTTGGTTATGCATGGCATGCAAAGATATTTCAAAATTTACATTAGTATGTTTTAGAAATAGGGCAGTAAATAACGTCTCTGCAAGCCTCCCACTGCTCCTAACATGCGGTCAAAACACTCTCGGTGTTAAATTGTGCAAGAAACAGGAAGTGATGGACGACGACCCTTTGAACTTTTACGGTGCTTCTGAAACATGGTTTAACTCCTGGGCAGTTCCTTGTATTTCAAAACTAATGCTTGCAAAAACACTATTAGCAATATTGCCACAGTGATCAGCATGTGTTTACAAATGTTTTCATTTCATTTTTGAGATTTTTTTGAGATTTTCTAGTTAATTAAAAGCACCGAGGCCAAAAGAGAGCGCTGTGTAGCTCAGTGGAGCCTGGAGATGCACCTCTGTTTACACACACACACAAACACACACACACAGGCACAAAGTGGACAGAGTGATTTTGGCCTGGGTTTATTTTCAGGTATGCAAGATTGTGACAAATCCTTTTAGAATGTCATGTTTCTGTCAGTTATCTCCACCATGGAGGTTATGTTTTTGGTAGCAATCGCATGTGCATCATTCTGTTTCTACACACAATAGTGGAAAACGTTTTGAATGAATTCTGATTCAGCTTTGTAAGGGTGCAGATTGAGGTCAATTTGTTCAAATTTGTCTTAAAGCCACCAAAGTCTTAAAAGTCAACTTCGTGATTTATTGGTTGAAAAATAACACAAAAAAACTACAACTTAGAAATGATTCTTACAAGTGTCATGTCTATTATCATATAGAAAGTACTGTGTAAAATTTAAAATATACTACATTTGACCTTTGACCTCTCGTTGAAGGTCAATAGATTGATTCAAAGGTCAAAATGAGACATTTTTAGGTTATTAAAACTGGCTCTTACTGCCATTGTTTGTATTGAAAAAATGGGGAATGATCTATGACAGCGGTCCCCAACCCCCGGGCCACGAGAGTTGAGGCTCGGGTGTGAAATTTATGGTGTTCAGGGTTTTTATCATTAACTCGGTTTCCCTGGGTCTTTTCCCGGGTTGTAGTTGTGCGTCTTATTTTGAAAGAAATATCTACACGTTACCATAGCGACCAGAGAGCATTAAGGGGCAGAGAGGAGGACGTTACTCTCAATGTTGTTGGCGCATTTCAGGAGGACGCTGCTAATAAAGTTACACAATTACACAGTGAATTTGCCTTTATTAATATATTTACAAAATACTACAGTTTTTGTCTTGGTCGTGTCATTTTATTTTGTTGTATTTATCCGCGACACCTTAAAGGCCGGTCCGTGAAAATATTGTCTGACATTAAACCGGTCCGTGGTGCAGAAAAGGTTGGGGACCGCTGATCTATGAGGGTTTTAACTATCGCGTTATGTTATTTTGACTTTGTTATTACTTTTTTTTAACCACATAAAGTTGTGTTAAATATGTTTTTCAATTGATTTTTATTACTAAACGGGTGAAATGAATATTACACATGTATTATAGCCACATTAATTATAAAATATATATAAAAAAAACTCTACCTTAATCCTGTCTGGGATATTAAAATGAATTTAAACGGGTCAAATAACAAAAGCCTGCAGTTTTCACTTGCTTTTACTGAACTACAAACATAAAAAACAAAAAACAAAAACAGGTAACAGCTGACGGCGAGCCACACACACAGGCACCATCTTGACTATCTGACATCTCAGAGCAAATTTATAAAGAAGGAAAATAAATCTAAACAAAATACAAAAATATTCCTATAAAAGTAAATATGAATAACAGAGTGTGTAGTTCTAATGCATTTCTGAAATCTAAAAGAAGTCATCTTATCCATATTGTCAACTAGCCAAACAATCTTTTTCTGTTATAAAGATATCTGAGACCTGCTGGAGTCTCGAGCTACTTTTATTTTTGTTAATAAATGCTTTATAAAGCATAAATTGTCCTCATTTGACATGAGCTCACACAAAATACTTAATTCACTTGTAACTGCCTGAATTAACCATGAATTACAATATGAAATAACTATTAATGAAACCTTTATCAACACACTCACAAAAAGCTTATAAAACTTTATAAATGCTCAATTAACTGCTTATTAATACCTTACTAATGCTTAATAGTGTGACATTATTATAAAGTGCTATATGACTCACTCAAAACAAAATGATTCATAAACTTCCAAAAACTCAAAGCCCAGGTCCAAAACCTCAGCTTTCATGTCTCCCTGAGCTCAAAGAGAAGGGTTAGCGATATAAAACTCACTAATATGATCTCTGGCTGTGCAGCGCCACCCTCTGGTTAAACTGTGTTTTTGCAAGGGAATACACTGTGCTAGCTGTACCGATCAAATGTATTACTGCGGCTTTGGCTGTACTCTTACCTGTAATTCATTAATGTGTGATATTATGTGCACATTTATTTAAAGCTAGATTTATCTTATGTAAATGTAATCATTACACCTCAAGGTTACTTAGCATATTTGATACATGTGGTATTTTTTGTTTTTATAATTTGTTTTGTTCAGTTTTTTTCCTAGTATAAGTAGTTTGAGGTATACTAATACTAATATTAGTAATATTTGTTTGTTTGGCTGGTGAAGGAAGTTCAGTATTAAAACTCTCACTTATTTAGAAACTCCCAGCCCCCAAACAGAGAACGTTGTCTGCCCATGTGAGCACAGAAGTCCAAGGTCTATGTGTGGATGGACTTTGGTTTTCTCCTCTACAGCACACAGAAACAGAACTTTGACACAGACTGGCAAAACTACAGGATTTAATTACACCTCTCACTCTAATAGCAGTGGAGCAGCTTCTGTGTCAAATAAATGATCACAACCCAGATGCCACCTTAGCACCACTGCAATTAAAAACCTTTTATTACTGTTACACAACTCTTAATTAGTGATACAGCATAATGAGCTCTGCCAACACCCTCATTTGTGTCGTGTTTATGTGCTGCTGCTGTCCCTCCTGCAGACAGAAATACAGAAGTGCGCTGCATGTACAAGTTCCAGTAAAACTACTGCACCAGTAAGGAAAGCAGATATTGGCTATAAAATCCACCAAGGTCCTTGCGACAGGACAGAGATGTTTTCAGTGTCTCAGAATTAAATGGGATGAATGTAAAATGACGATAAGAAGTGCTCCAAACAAAAAACACTTAACTGAACATATCCAATAACCTGTAAAAGCCCCTGAACAACACCCCGGATTAATCCAATCTATACACATAATTATGTTTAGTTTTTTTTTTTTAATACTGTACATAATTCGTTGTTTTATGGTTTTCTCAGATGCACTAATTGGCTTAAACCTGTAGATGGTGCTGATGTCTTCTACAGAGTAACCACGAAAGAATGAAACAGAAACATGTTTAAACAACAGCTGACGTGTTTCAGGGCTGCTGATACTCTTTGATAAATTCTTAATGGTTCAATGAGTCACACTAGGACTCCAAGTCTGTCTTTGAATTTGACACCACATACAGTCCAGTGGAAAATATTTGGCCCATTCTTGATGTCCTAAATTTTGTTTACACATTTACCTATCCGTCCATCCATCCATTCATTCTCTTCCACTTATCCTTGTCAGGGTCACGGATGGAGGGCTGGAGCCTATCCCAGCTGTTTTAGGGCGAGATGCATTTCCACTAATCAAACAAATGTTAATATTAAACAGATATTAATTTGATTAAATTTTATATTTTATTTATATAGCACCAAATCACAAAAACAGTCACTCCAAGATCCCAACAATGAAATGGCCCCCTTTAAACAAACACTTGGCAACCGTAGGAAGTAGAAACTCCCTTTTAATAGGAAGAAACCTCCAGCAGAACCAGCTTCAGGGAGGGGCAGACGTCTGCCACGACTGGCTGGGGGTGAGGAGAGGAAGACGGGACAAAAGGCATGCTGTTGAAGACAGGCAGAGCTTAATAATAACGAATGATTCATCTCTGCTGTAAGGTTTTTCCATTTGTGGATAATAGCTCTCACTGTGGTTTGCTGGAGTCCCGATGACCTAGAAATAAGTTTGTAACTCTTTCCAGACTGGTTACAACTTTGTTTCTCATCTGGTTTGAGTTGCATGATGTGTTGCTCTTTCCGATCCTTTCGCCTACTTTACATAGTCAGACAGCTTCTATTTCCATGATTTTTTCATTGAACAGGTCTTGCAGTAATCAGGCCCAGGTGTGGCTGATGAGACTGTTTTGTTGCATAATCTTTATCAAAAGCTTTTTCCTGTCACACAGACTGGCGAGCTGTTGGTGCTGATGTCTCTCTGGGTTCACTGTCTCAACAGCTGCACTGTGAGGCCATAGCTACTTTAGTGTTTTCCTCTGGAAAGCTTTTTGCAGCGTTCATATGATGGACTTTACACAGTAAACAATCTGTCAGATCAGGTTATTTATCGTCAGCATGAGGAGAAATGGGTCAGTTTAAAGTGCAGAAGCATGAGAAAACATGCTCATGGGATTCTGTTGGTCCCAGCAAAAGTGAGTGACCTGTTGAAATCAAGTTGCATAGATTTTTACACCTGTGTTTTCTTTTCTTTCTTTTTTTCAAAGAAACACACAATAGACATCGATTTCATTAACGTAATTTCAATAAATACAGAAATTAATTTACCGATGACATTTTGACTGAGGTCTATGACCTCTTAATGAAATAGCATTCATTAAAAATGTTAAACATGCAGCACAAATCTACAGTTTTGGGCCATAAACTAGTCATTCTGAATCAAAAAAGAAAAAGAGACACCCACGAGTGTTACTGTCACTGTCCTGGGTCAGTGACCCAGTGTTTTGGTTTATTTCATTATTATTATGATCAGTCTTTGGTTTTCATCTTGGTTTATTACTACCAGTGTTTTGGTTTTTTGTATTTTAAGCTCCCAGTTTGTCTCTGTGCCTGTCGTGTGCTTCCTGTTAGGTTTTGTATTGTTGATTGTCATTTATGCTTAGAAATATTTAACCATATATGCTTAGAGGTGTATAATCAATTGTGTAGTGATAGTCTGCAAACTTTGTGTGTATTAGAGAGCACTCTGGGAGCACGAGAGAGGTCGTACCTTGTTTTATTGTTTTATGGTAG